TAGAAAGCGGTTGTTTATCTACATAATTATTCTCAAATAATTTTATAGATATAAAAAATAAAATAAAAATACTTAGATATATATTTATGTCTATATAAAGTCGAAAGGTGGCCAGGAAAATAAGCATTAAAACCACCGAAATTCCATCGAGTTTGAACAGTAAATTTGGGAAAAAGGTATTTAACTTTTGAAATTGTTACCGAAAAATTGACTATTACCTAGGACCGATGGAATTGCTTTAATTATCAGTTACACTTTATATACATGAATTTGACATATACACAGCAGTGTGGCCACTACACAGACGGTCGAGCCATCTAACACACACGAACATTCGCGCAAGCGCCCTGCGCCGCCTAAACGAAACAGCTGGCGCAGGCATACATTTTCGCCGCGCCGCGCCGTAGACAGAGAGGGGGATACTTCCTCGTGACATTTCGAACTCGCAAACTATTCCAATTCGATATTGGTTCGTGCTAAGGGTACTGATCGAAAATTCGTAAGACGAAAACTTCTTTAGCGGCGTTGTACACTTTTTTTATAATGGTAAAAAAAGTTAAGCTCGCGTCAGGACACGTGACCTGATCGAAAATTCGTAAGACGGATGGAGAGTAGAAAGCCAGCGCGGCGTAGGAGAGGAAGTATCCCCCTCTCTGTCTACGGCGCGGCGCGGCGAAAATGTATGCCTGCGCCAGCTGTTTCGTTTAGGCGGCGCAGGGCGCTTGCGCGAATGTTCGTGTGTGTTAGATGGCTCGACCGTCTGTGTAGTGGCCACACTGCTGTGTATATGTCAAATTCATATCACGTCGTGTCCTGACGCGAGTTTAACATTTTTTTCCTCTTACAAAAAAGTGTACAACGCCGCTAAACAAGTTTTCACTTCAAAAAAATATTTTATTGTAATAATTATAACCTATTTATTTAGTCAATTGAGTCAATCTTGTGGTACTGATCGATATATCAGTTAATTGTCAAAGATATCGAATGAGCATCTTTAGCTACAATGGCAACGATAACTTTTGCATATCACTGCTTGCCATAATGCATGCCGCGTTTACGTAATAATTTTTTATGAGGTGACTGTATTCTGTAATCAGTAATCTCTATTTTGTTCTTTTGATATATGTATTATTATAATATGTTTATTTATATATTTATTGCAGTTCGACTTGAATAGATATGACGTATAGACGACGTGTAAACTACCTATTATAAAATTAATCTGATTTTTAGGGTTCCATGCGTAAAGACTGCCAGTCAAAGAAATGAATTAATTGGTTAAATATAAAATATAAATAAATATTAAGGGCGGTACAGGGGTATCAAAACGCAATTTTTTCGGTGATTTCACTTAACATTATGTGGTATGGAACTTTTGGGATGTACAAGTCCGACACAGACTTGATCGCGTTTTATAAATACATAATGTTTTATTTTCTTTGGAAAAAATCCTTCATGTCACCGTCCATACGTTATAAGTGATAATCATTCATTTATTCCCGGGAATAGATGTTTCGATATTTATACTTATAAAATAGAACGTTAATACATTTCATTGGTAAGCATCATTATCAGGTAAAGTTCACTTTGTAAATATATTTCAAATTTTATTTCAAATCTAATTGAAAAATATCGTGATAAGAGTTGAAGGGTACCTACCTTTAGCACGAACCAATATCGAATTTAAATAGTTGAATTCGATCTCGATACGCGTCAAATTTCAAGAAGTTATGATTGTAAATTTGAATAGCGCCACTCAGGATGTAACGTGGTGTAACGAGAATCCACCAGATCATATTCGATATCGAATTCAACTATTCGAATTCTATATTCGTTCGTGCTAAAGGTACGATCTTTGTACCCTAAGCACGAACTTTGTCAGATCCGTATTCGTTTAAAGTTTCTATGGAAACTAAGTAGCGCGTGTAACGGACGTAAGAACAAACTAGCTTTTTCCATGGAAATGTTTGACATGACGATACGAATATCACTACATAGTATAAAGCAAAGCCGCTTCTCGGTGTCTGTCCCTATATCCCTATGTATTCTTAGATCTTTAAAATTACGCAACGGATTTTAATGTGGTTCTTTTAATAGATAGAGTGATTCAAGAGGAATGTATATATGTATAATACATGCATAATATAATAGAGAAACATTGATATTTTTAGAGGTTTTTAATGTAAGGTCGTAAATAAACACTTTTTTTGCGCTTACATTGCAAACGCTGGCTGAACCCTACGAGATATATCAAAATAATGTACTACAGTATTGTACACCTTAAAAAGATCTGCAAAAAAGTCCCCGATGGTATATCTTTATCTCTTTGGGATAACCCGCAATAACCATTTTTTATCATCCTATACTTTTTACGAGAAATAATAGATTATTAACGAAGCGATTTTCAGCAATATAAAAGTCATCCTTACCCAATTAAGTACCTTAAATACATTGTGCATTTAATTTAGACCAATTTGGGGGCTTGGCGTCGCGTGCCTAATGTAATAGGTATTAGAAGAATGTCATTGTGTATTATATTATATTATTATTTTATTATATTATTATTTATACAAGCCTGAGAACAAAAACTATAGTCTACACTACAGCTCTACACCGAAGCGAAGCGAGGGCGGACCACTAGTTAGTATATAAATAATAACAAAATTTTAACCTCTGCAAATTGCATGTAAGTTTTTATTACCTACATCTATTTGAAACACTGCTAATTTGCCGAAGCGAGGTCACTGTGTCTAGGCCGACTTGTGAGACCATTCAATCGTTGACATGTAAATAGAAAATTGAAACAATTGACATGTCATTTATGTATTTAATAAAAAAATAATAAATCGATAACGTCCTTAATATATTTTTTATTTTGCAAACATAGCACAATAAAAATATATAGAAAGAATTAATATTGTAATACGATGAATCACAAAATAAATTATTTATCGAAAAATGCCTATGGAAAAACGTACCTACCCACTACATTTTTCTTTGGATTAGCTTGAAAAATCTAGCAGTAAAAATAAGATTTATATATGCACTGCATGTTTTCATCATTTTTGTTTTATATCCCTTTACAAAGACTAGGTAAGTAAATCATCCTTTATTTTTGTGTGAGACACAATAAAATTGCGTAAAAAAACAACAACATTCCATTAATATTTTAAAGGAACTCCCAAAAAAGACATTTTTTAATTTGCAACTATATTAGATTTATGTACTCGTAAATCAATGCCAAATACAAACCGATCACTAATTATGGCGGGCGGTTGTGCTTTAATAGAATTAAAAGATTATTTCAAAAGTCATTAATTACTTACTTATCGCTCTTGAAGTCCTGATTAAGTAGGTATGTTATCTCACTATACGCAATCAAAGATATCAACTTATTGAATTATTATTTCATAACATCTAAAAAGAATACTTTATATAATGTATCACCATTACTCTTAAACTCTAAGGCAGGACTAGACTTCTGGATGCCTTACTGGGAACTATGCAAATCACCTACTTATGCGAATCGCTTGCAGTACGACTAGCCTCAATCTATTTAAAAATACTTACTTACTTCTAGTCACTGAGAGTATAGCTTTGGTCCTCGCAATATGCAATGCGAGACTCTTTGCAGACTTCAAAGAGAAGGAGGTTCTCAATTCGGTTGTAATTTTTTTCTGGTATAGTTTCAGTTAACACATCTGCCCATTTGTCCCTTTTTATTGATTCTGCTGTCGCGGCTCTGCGCCTATTGAATATATTGCACTGCCCTAACTTTATAGTACGATCTCTCTCATTCTTGAATGGGAAGAAAGAATTCTAATGTAAGATTTTTTTTTGTATATAGGTCCGACAAATGATTCCTTCCACTCCACCTGATGTTAAGTGATGGTGAAGTCCAGACGTGAAGATAGCTGGTACAGCAGTTCTACCTGCCAGACCAGCCATACTTGCCTTGCCGGCCTGCATGTTGCTTCTTCACGCCTCTTTTAAAGGATCCCAGGTTGTAAGAAGGAGGGAACACGTCAGCAGTGCGACAAACAAATGATGAAACATGTATAAATTTACAGTTCCCCTATGACTGCATCGTTATCTTTTCATAGGTCGATCTCCCCCTATAGAGTCTTTTTTTAAAACTGCCTACTATGGACAACACATTGAAAAGCATCTCAAAACATCTTCTATTGTGAACGTACTAGACTGCATACTAAGTTGACTCATGACCCAATGGTCACCAGAGCTTGACCACAAGCTTCGCGTTAGTTATTGGACTAACCTCACGTCATCAGTTTTTATATAATCTCTCGATATAATTAATTCATTCATTAGTTTTTGTTGAAAATTGAGTGTGTCAGTGTCTTTGCAATACGATAGACTTAGGCGCCTTCTTCACCGGGTCGGTCGGTGCGAGCTTGTTTCGTTTCTGCACCGAATCGTTCTCACCGTGCAGATTTTTTACCGAGTGCACATAGTTAAATGACAGCTTCCTGACTGAGTAGTTTCTGAATCTTCAGATCTTCTTGTGGATACACAGCTCACTCTCTCAACAGAAACGAAATCGAAACAAGCCCGCACCGACCCGGTGAGGAAGGCGCCTTAGGTCCACTTGCCGCATTTTGTTAAATCGAGATTAAGCAAAGTTGATGCAAGTGGACAGCAAGACACCAATTTGAGAAGAATCAAATTTACTTGTCGTCCCTGAATGTGGCTTTTTGTATTTTATTTACTTAAGAACTAGTTAGAGCAGAATAATAACTACTTTGTTGGTATGTTTTATCGATTATACCAGTGCACCTTGTACCTATTTTTCTGTCTTTATTCCGTTCGTATGGATACGAAAAATAGTTAACACGATAGTGTTATCGTGGACAAACAACGATAGCTCGGTGGCTGTGACCTCGGGGCATGGGTCGCTTGCTCCGATACCGCGAGATTCGACTTCACAGGAGCATTAACATTTTTATCACCATTTATTACGATAATAATGACCTCCCAGGCACCTCTGGCCAGTGGTTGGGTGTGTTCATGCCGTAAACTAGTTTAAATGAATATAATTTGAGCAGTTAACACACTTCTATTACTATCTATTTTGTGCTTCTATTATGATAAGTTTTTCAGAAAAGGCATAATATAAATCTAATTTTAAATTAAAGGTTATTAAAATTTTTGGAGAAATCATTTTTGTTTTATTATTTTTGCGTTCTATAATAAAGAAAATTTGGTATTGTGTAGGTTATAATATGTAATGAATTTAAGAATGAGCTAAAGTTGAGTGACCTGCACACATCGTGAGTGAATCATTACCGTGTTCGAACCACTAATGAGTGACATAGTAGGATAGGACACGCACATAAATTCCTACTAACTCATACTAACCAGCCATACTCAGAAACGCCAATTAAGTTTTGAGTTTGTTTAAAACCGATGCTATTTTGTAAGCGAGAACAATAGAAAATACAACACGTGACCTACGATTATGTAATGAAGCAGATTATTTAGGATTCCGTAATTAAAAGAAAACTCCGCTCCGATTCGCTTAGCATGACAACATTTCGCTCTGCTCAACTTAACTTTTCTAAATTTTTATATTATTTTTCTCAACTCAGCTTAGTTATTGAAGGGAAGCGGAGATGAATGGGTATTTTGAACAAGCCATTGGTATTTTTTTTAAAGATTTTGCTCAGCTCCGCTTGTTTGTAAAAGTAGCTAACAATACAACAAAGCAATGTGGTCACTAAACATAAAGAAAACTCCGCTCGTCTGCTCCACCTCGCACAGCTGCACTGAACTCCGTTCAGCACCGCACGGCTGTGCCTCGCTCAGCATGACAACACTTCGCTCTGCCCTATTTAACTCCTTAGTATGTTATTCTTTTCAACTCGGCTAATACTGTTGCCACTGCTGCACTGAAGCAGAGCGGAGATGAGACGTATAATTTAAGCAATGCCATTGGTATTATTTTAAGACTGCTCAGCTCCGCTTATGTGGAAAAATAGTGGAAACTCAGCCTAAGAAACGTCAGAAGTTTTTTATCGTTGAAATAGAGTATGCCTCCTGCTCTATCGAGATACACTTGCTTTAAGTTCAAATTAATGTATATTTTTTCGCGAGCCTAACACATCGTTGGCAATATTTCCAACAGTATATCGTTCCGTTCCACCCTCACTATGCCTCCTTGGCGTACGTGATTGTTAGCCTTAATGTGTTGAAGAAAAAAAATATTGTTATACCTACCGAATAAGCTATTTTCCAACTATTTCGCAAAAAGCCTTTCATTCATCAATGCTGAACCGAAAGCTGAAACTTTCAAAGCTAGAAATAAGTACGATATTGTTTAGATAATAAAGGATTAAAAAAAACAATTTAAAAAGTGATTGAAATTTTGTATGGTGTGGGTGTAAAAAGATTTTTAAAAATTAAAACGTGTACCCATACCTACTTACCTAACATTTATCAAACTATATCAGTATGAAAAGCAGACATTTTAATATCACGTATTTATAATAAAAAATGACTATTTTGATGATTTTAGTGTCATATCTTACCGATAATTTAAATTAGAAAAAGCAACATTTTTGTTTATACAGTTGAAACATTTGTTAATACGACTATTCTGCCGTCCTCAAGCTAAAACGCGGCTAAATGATAAAACCAACTTTTTAGATATGGCCTAAAAACGGCTCGTAAACTTTAAATTATTGCTATTTTGTAACCATTCATCAAATGACGGATTTTAGACTCAAACTATAAAAGGTACGAACACTCGTTAAAGACATCGATAGAGAATTAAAAATTGTATAAGATGCAATTTAAGACTGATAAATTGACCACATGTCACATAGCCGCACTTTAGTTTGAGGACGGCAGTATTGAATTATTCTAATAACTTGAAAGTATTGATTCGTAATAACTCAAAATCATTTTGGTTCATAATGAAGAAAGGAAAACTATTCTCAACGAGTCTTGGCTTTATGACGTGTTTCATGTCCTTGGTTAATTCAAAACACGAAATTTAGCACGCAAAAAAATTAACAGAGCAATATTTGTACGAATGTCATTCATTAAATTTACTTTCATTCTATTTGTGTATTGTACCAATTGCATAATGAAACAAATAAATAATTTATTATTATTCTTATTATTATTGATCGTACATTTTCTAATGTTTTTTTTTCCATTTTCACATTATTTTCATCATTAAACATGCAATGCTGTGTAACTGTTTATATTTTATGGGTGACTTAGTTCATTTCTTTTAGACGAACTTAATATTTACTTAATTTGATATATTGATTATATTGCAATCGAACGGTCCATTGGCCCAATAGCGAAAGTTTAGCAACAGCAGTGAATCTGTTCTTTTCCTATAAGTAGGTTTTCTTTTAAACCGATTCATAACATTTTCTTGAAATTATTTTTAATAAATAAAAGTATGAAGTGGCAACTTATTAAATCTATCTTATTCTATAAAATGGTCATTTTGTAACACGCTGTAGTTAGAGTATACTATCCTAAAAATACTGCGTGATTTAAAATTAACTTGTAGCTTTGAGTTCGATATAAATTGCATAAGCGATTGAGAAAATCTATTACGTTGTTAGTAAAATATTATTGGTATCATTGCAGATGTTAATTTTATTGTCATCAGATTCAAAGTAAAACCTTTTTTGGAAATTAATTCTGGCCATTTCCGGATTATTTCGAAAGTATGGTAACCCTGTCTCCAATATATTATAGCTCTTTGGTTTGTATTAGTACAGGTTGTCTGTGTTACTTAATATTGTTTTTGTATATCAAGAACTTTTAAAACAACGTGTTTCATTGTTTTGTTCTTTTAAATGGAGACAGTGTATATTTTATCATCTATTCTACATTATAATAGGTAGATTATACATGACAGGGATTTTATTTTATTTAAAAAAAATAGTACACATTAAAATACGCCCTGCATATGATAAGCGGCCACCGTTGCTTTGAAGTTACTCAACCTTGACATTTCTTAGTGAACTAAAAATAAATACATACCTATATACATTTAAGTAGATTATTAGTTGGACACGTTATGTTATGGAGAAACAAACAACGATGAATTCGAATCATCCACATCAAGATACTATGTATAAAGTTCGATCTACATTGAGCTGGAAATTGAAGCTGGGCTCTCTTTGAGAGATGATAAGGACCTTAGAATAATTACTTATTATTCTGAGATAAGGATCCTCATTACATGTCCTATACAACACAAAATGACAGTTCTAGCGAAGTTGGCAAAGTTGGAAAATAATTCATAAACGTTTTTGAATTGGTACGTATCTTATAAATAGAAAAAAAATAATCAAAAAATATTTTTTTCTGTAAATAGGTAAAATACGGAGTCTGACTCATGTAGTGTGCAGCACATAGGCGGCTTGTTCAATGAAAATTTATTTTCATTAACAAACAAGTCGCGAACTGTCGATTCAACAGACTCGTCGAGAAATCAGCTGTGCTTATTCAGTCAATATTATTGCAGTGTGTAGCGCAAACAGATGTTTTTACTTAAGATGAGTTTCGTTTCTTGTATTCTTCTACTAATTTGAAGTAACTATCAATAAATAGTATTTGAATTTGAATATTTGAAAGCCTCACATTCATATTGTTTTGAAAAACAATTGGACTAGTTTCTTTAATAGATTTTAAAGTTAAACAAATTAAAAATTAACAATTTTTTTATACAAATTGCATTCGTTCATTTGTTCAAAGAGAATAATAGGAAAAATAATTAAACCAACAAATTTCATGCAATGTTTAAATATTTATAGTACGTATGTAATATCAAAGATTTTTCTATTAATAGACAAGTAAAGTTAAGAAATATTAGTTTTGTATCCCAGCTAAGAAAACAAAATAAGTTGTTGCGTTCGTATATACAAATTTTTCGTTTGTTAAACTTTTCAAAAATTTTATCCAAATTCTGCTTAGGAAAAATATCGACAATAAGTTAAAGAAAATAATGAAGGTCATAATTCAACTCACCAACAAAAATAACTACGAAGGCAGAACATAAAAATTCAAAAAATATATTAACGCACACGCACACACTCTAGCAGCAGTCCAGTTCGAAGATACGAATTAAAATTAAATAGCAAACTGATAGCGTTCGATTTTTAAATTATGTAACGAGACGCGCAAATGACGCGCTGCGTGGGGTTTTATCTGTGGACTGCGGTCTCTCCGCGCGAGCGTCGTCGTCCGCTCCGCTGTGTATTTCGGTGTACTGGACGAAAATAATGTTTACCTTCATTGCAGTTATAGGACTGATCTCAGGGACAGATCGCTAACCATGTGCGTACTACACGTCCATGTAGCTAACAGAGAGAGTCCAAATCCAAAGTAAAAAGGTTAAAAATTATAATTGAGACCACAATTTTATCGAGACGTGACCAAAAGCCTTTGAGTATCTATAACCCTAAAGCCCATGCTAAAGCTGGGAGTAAACTAAAAACAAAATACGTCTGCTGGTAGGTATTGCTTCTATTTTTGCGGACCTAATGTAGTTAAAAAATTATAATCATAAAATCGAACTAAATTTCAAAGACATGTTCAAAACAGTCCTACTCATAGGTCACGGTACGGTACTTACCTTAGCAATCTTTATTTCTTTTTCCAAAAAATCATAGTCAATTTGTTTGTGGTCATTTGTGATATTGTAAGGATGCTATGCTAACCATACTCTACCTATACATCCACATCTGTTCAAGCATTTATAAGTTATGGTGGAACAAAGAAACGCACACAAACAAACATCAGGAGCTTTTAGAACATAACACTCTTTTATTGGCTGACTTTCAAAATGGAGAAAACAATTGAGGATTTCACAACCGATCCCCCGACCCGGCGAAACAAAAACGGACGGGCAAGATGCCGGACGTAGATCCATATTAATTCTTCTTGATTTTTCACGCGCTTAAATAAACAAACTTATATTCTCCTATCGTATTATAAGAATAGCATTCCGTCTTTTATGTCCAACGCACAACACAGCGGCATTTCGTG